CATATATTTGAAGTATGAGGTTGATGCCTTAAGAAATAAAGAAGAAACAGTAAAAAATTGTATTTTTTAAGGAAAATTCTAAGTTCAAGGGGAGATAAATCTGAAAATATTGGTGCTAGAGTTATGAACCTTGTCACATAAGATGTGGTTGATGATAAGGAACATATATTTGAAGTTTGAAGTTGATACCTTAAGAAATGACAAAGTTATAGTGAAAAACATTTTACAAGCAATGTATACAAAAATAGATTCTGCTTCACCTGTTCTGATTTTTGGACAGGCGATTAGGAAGTACACATTAAACATGTAATTAATAAACCAGCGGATTGTAATGCAATACTTTTAGAAATGCTATACAAATATTGTAAGAAGCAAACAAGTTGAAAATGGAATTTAGTGTGAAGTTGAATAGGACAACTAGACACTGTAGTGCTTAAGTGACATTTAAATTAAAATAAAAACGATGTGCTTTGGCCTCTACATCTTTACCTTGTAAATAAAAAAAATCTAAGAAATACACTATTAATTGCTGATGATTTTAACCATTTTTTTTTTTTTAATGAGACATATCCAAGAGAAATAAAAATACAAATGACTTATATTTTATTGTCTGTATGCCCACTATAATATAACACGAAGCAATTCTAAATAGCATTATCAAATGTATAATGTATTATGTTTGAAGTTTATCTGCCTGGATTTATTCTAGAAATATTTCGTTGATAGTTTTTTTTTCTATTTACATATCATTTCTTAGAATAAATCGATAAGGACACTGATTTACAAGTCTGACCAGAGTTTTTAGGCATAAATTTCATTCTGTATTTAAGTGTTTGAAAGTAGAAAATCTGAATTATATCAATTTGGGACACAAAATATATTGCTCTACAAATCTCAAACTTGTATGGAACAAATTTTCTCTGTTATATATTTTGTGTTTTGTTTTTGTTTTGTTTTTCTAAAAAAAGCCTTAATTAATGTCTCTCCGGTTGCATATCCGTCGCATTCAGTGCTGCAGCACTTTCATTTGTTTGTTTTATTGGATTAAATTTACGGAAGTAGAAATGGGTATCTGTGTGGGAAAGTGATTAGGTAAGTAGATAACATGGAAAAAAGCTAAAGGGGATGGATAAATTCAAGAATATGTGTAATTACAGGGGGATGGGTAACCTGATGCTGTTCGTACCAGTTTTGACTGGATGGCTAAAATATTCAACGGAAAGTTTTGTTTTCATTAGATATAAGTCTTGCACAGATTTTAGATGTGCCCTTGGCACTATGCTATAGATTTTCCTAAGCATTAATTTCATATTTCACCATTGTAGGCTGTCTGTCCCAAAACAGACGCTCTGATTGCCTTATGCTGATAATGGGCTTTTACCAATCACAAGCAGCAATTGCTTGGGATTTGACGTTAAGCAAATGGGGTATGAGTGTTGCCCCAGTAATCATTTGAAATTTAATTATTCAACTGAAGAAATTGATAAATTATTCAACTGATGAAATTAAAGTAATCTAATGGTACATAGGAATCACTAACCGTGATATTTTGGATTATTAACTACCAGATTTGCATGCCTCAAATTGAATGTACATATTTTGAAACTGTGCGTCTATTTCGATTTTTATGCATATTTTACACAGGAAGCACGTCTAGATTAATCACTGTACAAAAGATCCAAACATCGATAATTTTTATTAAAAATTTTAATGTTTTTTTTAATTATGAAAATTCACCCTGTGTGTGTCCTGTTTATAAAAGTCCTTTGTATAACAAAACATACAAAAGTATAAATAATTATTTGAATGCCAGAAAATTTTTAAGCTTTTTTTTTTTTAATAAAAATAAAGTATCTTCATCTGCTTTTGTGGGATAAAAAGACCATGGATGTTTTATTCCTGAACTTAAAGAAGTACCAGTTTCTATTTCTATTTTTATTTGTGCATTATATCATAATGTCTTTTAACTGAACTTACAATGTACTTTACAAGGGCGGCAAAATCAATTGTCCGTATTGCCCAGGTTGTCCCACAGCCTGTACAGACAAGTGAAAATATTCAAGAATTAACTATGTAAATATTATACAGACAAGTTGAAAAATGCTTTACATAAAAACTGACAAGTAAGTCAAAATCAGATTTTGCGGGCGAAAACATAAAGCCTTTAAATGTATTAAGATATTTTAAAAAAATATGTGATCTACTGTCAGCTTTAACACTCCAACCAGTATATAATTATAAAGCCAAAATTATTATATATAAACATTTTAGCTAGACATGAATGGATTTTGCATGGGATTGATAGGTCCCTACTGAGTACTCTGATCTTTTTTTTTTGAATAACAATATATTTCAGGATGAGTCTGCTTTTAATGATATAACAGAACTATTTTGTATTTTGCAGAAAAGCTGAGTCTCATACAAGTGGAACAAATGCTGAAGAATTTAATGTGCCTGATGCTAGAAACAAGAAACTTTTCAAAGAGCGTGTTGACACATTTTCAATATCCTTTAAATTGAAAATAACATTTATCTTTTTAATGATTGCTCCTCCAAGCTGCTGACCCTGTCCCTCATTGATATAGGTTATGAAGCTATTTGTCATCTGGATATAGAGTTTCAGCATTTTTTCCAGGATTTTGGGAACATGACCTATACCCATGGAATTGGGAATTTCAGCGATGTTTTGTTAAAATTTGGTAAAAATGCATGACTTTAATTTTTGCAATGATTAAATGTATGCAAAGAATCATTGTCTAGGATGGCATCTTCAAACTTTTAAACACCTTAACCGTGAAGAAGCGCTTATTTTAAAAGATTTTAGAATTAGTTACCGGTATCTAATCTTTTTATTTTGCAACTTGCAATTGGGAATTTTTTCGTGTGAATTTGGAAAATAATATACTATTTTCAATTGGGGATATGAACATATATCGGCTATAAAATAAGCCAAAAAAATCCTTGAGTTTGTCCCATGGTTCTGCTCTTATGCCTGCTCCTTATTGATAGTATCATAGTTTATTTGATATTTGATCTGACATAAAAGAAAGGAGGAAAATTCCCCCCATACACTAAAATTCCCCCTGCTGAGGGTAGCGACCCACATCCCCAAAATTGGATTGAGGGCCCTGGTATGTCATTGTAGAACTAGACATTCATTAAATAATATTTCAGATATCAAATACTTACTGAAATTTTCCAAAAATAGAAACATACACAGTTGCTCATAGATACAATTGTTTCAGCACCTTATCACTTTTCACCTGTGAGTTGTCAAAATATGACCTTGTAGATATTAGGGCTTCCATTCTTGTGCAATCATTTCTGCCATATGAGTCCTGTAAAAGAGTTTTCAAATAATGCCCCATACCATATCACATGTTAGTGATGAAAATTTCTTTGAATATTAGATTTTTGTTCTATATCAGTCTGACTGCAGTTCAGATTTTCTTATGTTTACATTAAGCTGTAGATGTAAACATTATAAGATCTTAACTTTGGTCAGATTGGTTCTATATTTCCATTTAAAATAACTTAATTGCTTTATTAAATGGGTAAAATATCATGCATACAAGCACGTCATTGCATGTGAATTCTTGCATATAGGACAGGATTATCTAACCTTTACACCAGTGCTAGAAAAATCTGTCTTATGCCCCCCATGTAAGACAAGTCGCATGCTTTAAATGACATCATTGCATGGAGCCTTTTATGAATGAATTGAATTCTTAGGATGACACCATTTTACCATTATGAATGAAGTTGTAAGTGCATACGCTACAATAAGAAAAAAAGTGCATAATGAGAATGTTAGTTTTCTTAATTTCTCTTTTGAAAATAATTGATATGTTATGCAAGAAAAAAACACTGGCTGTTGGTACAGACAGGAATATCTAGCTCTCGGGTAACTGTTTAGTGGAAACTGGGCAGAGCCTCATTACCATTGTAACCAGTTTCCCTGGAGTTATATATTTTGGTCTGTACCGGCAGCCAGTGTAAGATTCTTATATGGCATTATGCCTTGGGATTACAGCAGTCAATGCGAAAGTCAAAAAAAATTTCCAGCCACAAGGACTGGGATCCTTAGATTTGTTTCCGGCCCTGATGATTTTTACCCGGCCTGGACTATGAAAGATATTTTTTTTAGGGGTGGGTGAGGGATATTGCCAGAATTATAAACAAATGTAACAGTCAATTTTATGGTGAATGTGCTAGAAAAATAGTTTCTTAGTAACTTCAATTTTTGTACGGGAACTACTTGCATGCTAGTAAAACTTTTGTATTCTAAAGCTTTAAAGGAGCGCTACTGAAGTCCAAACACCTGAAAACATACCAGCCTGTCATGACAAAACCAACATAATGGGTTTGCAACCAGCATGGATCCAGACCAGCCTGGGCATCCGCACAGTCTGATCAGGATCCATGCTGTTCCCTTACAAACCCTATAACAAGTAAAGAAACTGTTAGCGAACAGCATGGATCCTGATCAGACTGCGTGGATGCCAAGGCTGGTCTGGATCCATGCTGGTCGCAAATCCATTATGTTGGTTTTGTCGTGACGCGGCTCAATTATGATAAATTTTGAAATTCCTTAATAGATCAATTTAGCACTTGAGGACCCAAAAAATAATAAAGGACCATCATCAGAATTAAATTTGAAAAATAATTTTTTTTGTTTGTTTGATTCTTAGCCTGATTTGAGATACTTATCATTATTTGGTCGTTTTTGCACAATTTAATTGATTATTCTGCAAAAAACGTATGTGAAATTTTTCATGCAAGTTGACTTATTTGTTCATACTTGTATCAAATGGTTCACTTTACTAGAAAACAATATTTCTAGTTTAATCAAGTCTAAAAGTCTCTTTGGAGTTTTAAGAAATATTTTAAGACCGTCTATCTTAATCTAATGATTTTATGATGAATTTTGAATTATTTGATCAAAAATAGTTACTTTTAATAATATGAAACTTTTGAAGCCTTAACACTGGTACCCTCTGCAGTGGTTCGCAAAACCACTGGAGTTGTCGCCCTTGGTCTGTGCCCGATACGGTTGGAAGAATACGGACACCGATATGCTTCAGTGTGTGAACTGTAAAGCCTTCATTTGCGGTCAGCTTCCGAAGGCAGTAGACACTCGAAATTGTGAGTATTGGCAAAAAAAATTTGAGCTTTTATTTAAATCTTGTATCAGTCTATATATGTTAGGTCTTTAGATTGCAAAAACATATTTTCAATAGTAATTGATTTTATCAAAGTACATATATCTTATTAATAAAAAAATGAATGATTTAAATAATAGGTATCAAACTTAGAAGTCTTTGTAATAAAGATTTTTACATATTTTTCGAATATGTGTAATGGATAAATTTAACTTGCTTTGAATTTTGGAAATGTCCGTTGAAAGTTACAAGTAAATGTACATGTATGCTACAATTCAAGGTATAAAAGTTTTGTATGTTTAACACATTGTTTTATATTCAGATAGGGATAGTTGCAATAAATTTAAGAAAGAACTGGTGGATGGTCATGAAAAATTGTGTAAATGGTCCTCAAGTTCGTGTCCAGGTAGGTTAGATTTTTTATGTGCTCATGTTAATTCCATGTAGAATTATATATAAATCGTCACTTAAGTGCAGTTACAGGTTATCTCTTACTAACTTTTAATAAGAGTTAAACCATTACTACATTCAGATAATGAAATCTTGGGTTGTATACGAAAATTGATAAAAGATGCCAGCTAAAAAAATCACTCCGTAGTCTCTTCATTGAATTTCAAAATGATTGTGCCACTTATATGATAGATAACTCTCCTTTAAAATATGACAGCTATATGGTGGTCATCAGAATGACCTAAATATTTGTATTGTTTCATAAAAGTCAGAAGTGTCTTATAATGGTTCATGGCAGGTATCCATATCAGTAGCTGCGTTACCATATCACAGGGCTTCCATTAAGTTCCCAAAATTTGGAGGTCAGAGACAGCAAAGTGTCTTGACATTGGAAGTCATATTGTATAGGTAAAGAAGGTAAAGCAATTCATTTTGGAAGTCACAAACCAAAATCAATGTAACAGTAACAGTCCTGATATCTGTAGCTTTAAGCTTTAATTGTAGAGCTGCTGTAATTGACAAAAAGACACAATACAGTAAAAAGACATAGCTTAAACTTTCTTGTATTCCGTGGTATACATCTTTTTCTTATGACATACCACCTTTTATAAGTAGAATAAAATAATAAAATTTAATTGGATTTTTGTCTGTCTCAGGTTTTTCATCAGAGGAAATGTTCCCAAGGAGGGTTCAATTTCAGTACATATCGCCAAGAATCATTGACACCTTATCCATAAGGCCAATGCTCCCTCAGAGTTTTTATTCATTAATAAACAATCCTTGGTTCAGATTCCATTATCATTAGACTATTTTCAGACCTCCTGCTTAGAACTTAAATGTCCTGCATCTCAATTATCAATAGCATTCTATTACTTTCCTAAACAGGGAAAGTATTATGTAAGAAAAGCAAAAAGACTAATTGCAGGAAAAAGACTACAAAAATTGTTGGCAAAATTATAAGTATTGTCACTTTTTGCTTAAATTCAAACAACTTTAATAGGTGTCCATGGCAGAGTGGTTATGGTCGTTGATTTCAAACCACTTGCCCCTCACTGCAGTGGGTTTGAATCTCCACAGGGACTTTGAATTGTTTCATGTGAGGAAGCTTTGTAGCAAACAGAATGTAGGTGGTTCTACTCAGGTGCCTTTTCATGCCTGAAATTATAAATGCGTTGAGGGGCACCGCAGCCTGAGGTCTTCCTCCACCACTTAAGCTGAAAAGGCTCTATATGACATTTACTGTATTACCCAACCAAAATAACTTTATATAGGGATTACATGTCATAAAGCTGTTCTTATTATCAACTCTAGTCGGTTTAAGAATTTTCTTTGTTAACAGTTGCTATAAATAGTAAAATAATTCTTAATGATAAAAGTTTTTTTTTTGAATTATTCATTTATTCTGAAGTTCAGTTGCTGACCTTACATGAAACATTTCTGCAATGGCGACATTCACTAAACACAATTTTAATGTATCAGCGATTTAGGTGTGCCATGTGTTATTTTTAAGTTGTAAAAATCACTTTATCTGTAATACTGATTTACGATAGAAATTATCTTATCACTTCTATTTTTAGAATCATTTCTGTATGTACCGTACCATGACAGAGAGGAGTTACTGAGCAATTTCTGGTTTAAAATGACATCTCTGCAATGTGCTAAAATTCCTACAGTATCATTCAAATCCATCGAGGAAAAGGTAACTTGGCGTGTAAACTATATTAATTGATTAGCGCTCCATGTTTTTAATTAAAACAGATTATTGAAAAAACCAAAATAACTATATTTGTAATTTTTATATGTATATTGCCCTTGAAATCTTTTGATAAACATTATACAAGGATTTTTTTCTATATTTTACAGCCAAATAATCGCTGTTTTCCCTTAGCCCAAAATAGGTATATTTTCTCCTAAAAATGCTATCTAAAATGACCGTGGGTTTAATCCATGTCAGGGACAAGCTGTTGATTCATTGAGCAAGAAACTTTATATTCATTGCTTAGTATTGGTTGGATCCAGGCATGGATTTGAGTGTTTCAGTAAGCTTATAGCTTCCAACACAATCAAATTAAGATGAATTTGTATGAATTAACTTAACTGAACTAAAATGACTGCATAGAGGACCCAGGGATATAAAGGACTAATTTTGAAAAGATTTTCATGTATTCAGAGACTACGCCCATTGAAAATTACTTTTTTTTACCTGTTCATTTACAAGGGAGTTACAGCAGAAAGTATGATGTCTTATGCGAGAACTATTGCCTCACACAGTAGCAGTGAGATAGTTGCTTCAGATTCAACCATTATATGTGCTCTTTGTGGCTGGCATTACAGGTATGTCCCTTTTGTTTGTGAACAAAGTTGTTTTTGTTTCCATTTTCTGGTATATTCTTTCTATGTACAAGTGAAGTTCATGGACCATTCTTCCAATGCAGTAGACTTTTGAACTTTCTTGACCTGTGATATTATCAGATTCAACTTGATTGGTCTGGCTTCACAAATTGATATTCATTATGTAAGGTGATCACATGCAGAATGATGATGTTCTGTAAGGAGCAACAGTATAATTCTTAAGAATAGAAACCTTGTATAATTTATTGTATAGGATGGTTGCCATATTCATTTTACAGTCAGGTACGTTTATTCACAGGGTTTTCATTATTAACAGATTGTCAATCCATATCATCTGTTGAAATTCTGTAAAAACCAGTTTTGTATATCTAAATATCCCCCTTGACCTTTGACTAAATTGGTTGTTTTTATTGGCACATCTGTTGGCTCAGATAAAAATAAAAACCCTGTATACAGTGTTTAGATGCAGCTACATGTAAAAATGGAGAGCATCATATATATGTTATATATGTAGAGCTGTCATCGATAGAGACAGCATTGATGTATCGTTGATATTATTCTATTGGTTAATAATCGATATGAATTTGAAAAAATCGATTATTTTGATTAATCATTTTAATGTCTATAAATAATGAAAATTCACTAAAAACATATACAAAAGTAAGTGGCCATGTCTTACACTAAGCTGTTGTTTCATAATGGACACATTTCATAGCAGTGATGACAAAATATAGTCAGAAAAAAAATCATGCAAAGGTCCTTTAGATATGGAACACAAGATATTTGCATGAACAGAACACTTAATTTTCTAAAATCATTTAAACAGGTATGAAAAAGTTTTATATATATAAAGATAAGAGTATTAATCAATATATCGGATTATCGCCAATATGTGTCAACCAATATTAGATGTATTGACAATATGCTTTGCACTGACAGAATCAATGACAGCTCTTAATATATGTATTACAGGGTTCACTGATTCTCTCCTTGGGTGAGTCATAATTTTACCGTGACAATTTCTGTTGGACATTGAGTGTAATGGTCATTGTGTCTCACTGTTGATTCAGAAATCATGCATTATTATAAGTCTGTCACTTGAAATTGGTAATTACTTGTTTGTTATATAGAAAGGCATGATTATTAGCTCGACTATTCGATAAGAATAAGTAGAGCTATTGCAGTCACCCGAGCGTCGGCGCCGGCGTAACCACTTATGTTTAAGTTTTTGTAATAGTTCAAATATTTTCAAAGTCTATTGACATATGGCTTTGAAACTTTGCACACTTGTTCACCATCATGACCCCAACCTGTATACAGGAGGAGGTAACTCTATCAAGCATTTTGACAGAATTATGCCCCTTTTTCGACTTAGAATTTACGTTAAAGTTTTTGTAATAGTTCAAATATTTTCATAGTCCATTGACATATGGCTTTGAAACTTTGCACACTTGTTCACCATCATGACCCCAACCTGTAGACAGGAGGAGGTAACTCTATCAAGTATTTTGACAGAATTATGCCCCTTTTTCGACTTAGAATTTACGTTAAAGTTTTTGTAATAGTTCAAATATTTTCAAAGTCCATTGACATATGGCTTTGAAACTTTGCACACTTGTTCACCATCATGACCCCAACCTGTAGACAGGAGGAGGTAACTCTATCAAGCATTTTGACAGAATTATGCCCCTTTTTCGACTTAGAATTTACGTTAAAGTTTTTGTAATAGTTCAAATATTTTCAAAGTCCATTGACATATGGCTTTGAAACTTTGCACACTTGTTCAACATCATGACCCCAACCTGTACAACAGCAGGAGGTAACTCTATTAAGCATTTTGACAGAATTATGCCCCTTTTTCGACTTAGAATTTACGTTAAAGTTTTTGTAATAGTTCAAATATTTTCAAAGTCCATTGACATATGGCTTTGAAACTTTGCACACTTGTTCACCATCATGACCCCAACCTGTAGACAGGAGGAGGTAACTCTATCAAGTATTTTGACAGAATTATGCCCCTTTTTCGACTTAGAATTTACGTTAAAGTTTTTGTAATAGTTCAAATATTTTCAAAGTCCATTGACATATGGCTTTGAAACTTTGCACACTTGTTCAACATCATGACCCCAACCTGTAAACAGGAGGAGGTAACTCTATCAAGCATTTTGACAGAATTATGCCCCTTTTTCGACTTAGAATTTCCGTTAAAGTTTTTGTAATAGTTCAAATATTTTCAAAGTCCATTGACATATGGCTTTGAAACTTTGCACACTTGTTCAACATCATGACCCCAACCTGTAAACAGGAGGAGGTAACTCTATCAAGCATTTTGACAGAATTATGCCCCTTTTTCGACTTAGAATTTACGTTAAAGTTTTTGTAATAGTTCAAATATTTTCAAAGTCCATTGACATATGGCTTTGAAACTTTGCACACTTGTTCACCATCATGACCCCAACCTGTAAACAGGAGGAGGTAACTGTATCAGGCATTTTTTTTACTATCAAGCACTAAGAATAGTCGAGCATGCTGTCCTACCGACTGCTCTTGTTCGACTTAGAATTTACGTTAAAGTTTTTGTAATAGTTCAAATATTTTCAAAGTCCATTGACATATGGCTTTGAAACTTTGCACACTTGTTCACCATCATTACCCCAACCTGTAAACAGGAGGTGGTAACTGTATCAAGCATTTTTTTACTATCAAGCACTAAGAATAGTCGAGCGTTGCTGTCCTACCGACAGCTCTTGTATAAATTGGAATGACCGCTGAGGCATGACTAAAAAAATGTGTTAAAATTATTGTAAAAACGAACAAACAGATGCAATATAAATATAGATTTTGTGCACTTTTAAATTTGTTTCTACAGTAAAAAATCTTAGTGGTCACCAGTATTAAGCAGTCACCCACCTTATGCAGTCCTTTTGAATGCTCCCCAAATTTACCATTAGTTCTGAGTATGACATTATTTAAGCACCCACCTCATTTAAGTAATCACTTTTTGTTACTCTCTTGACAGGCTGCTTAATGCAGGTTTTACTATATGTTGCTTGTTTTATATAAGTCGTTTGAACATAAAAATGTACTGAAATAATTTTTAGCTTGAATTGAAAGGGGCTATCGTACTAACTGAGGCATCAAGTTTGGTGAATTGCATATGTCAAGTAAAACTGTACCTGTTTATATGGCACTGTCACTTTATTTATGATAAATCTAAGTCAATGATCATGAACCATAACTCTAGTATCTAGTATTCCCCTGCAAACAAAGTTTAAAATCGGGTATACTTGATTCAGCTTGTCCCCTAGCCATTCTTTCCGCACTTGTAATCTTGTGAAAGCTACCCGTCAGTGTCTATTCTAGGAGGGGGGGGGGATTCACTCCTATTTTTGATAATTTCCCCCTAGTTTTTCAGAGGCAGGGTGGGGGGGGGGGGGAATTTTACATAAAGGAAGAAGGAAAAAAAGCAACAAATGTAATAAATTCTCTAGTTAGAAAGTTAAAAAGTATTGTTTCTCTTTGCAGTGAATCTCAAGTGGATATTCTGCAGTGCAATTTTTGTTGCCGAAAAATCGGACTCTGGAATTACCAGTTTGAAAATACAGAACAAATGACTCCGTCCGTGGGATCAGACAGTTTTAAAGAGACCAGAATAAACGGGAACACTTTGACTGAGAAGTCAAATGGATGTGTGTGTTCTGATCAATCAAATGGTATTCATAAAAATGGCTCAGAAAAGACAAATGTGGATCAAAATACATGTCATGTTAATGGTGATCCATCAAAGAGAGAAGGTGAACCTAATGATAAAAATACAAACAATATGGATGGGCAGATAAACAAGATAAATGAACAGGACTTGGAGTGTGACGGACCAGTTAGAAAGAGACCCAGGCTTGTAAGTTTACGAAATTTTGTGATAAATTTATTTTAAGTTACCGGACCTAGTTTATTTAAAACTGTTGTTGTAATATTTTTGTTGTAGGAGAAAACGTTTTTTGTCAACCGTTTCCATTTTTCGTCACCGAAGTGGCCAAATTTAGTTAAATCACAGAAGATTAAGGTAGGGTTGTGGGATAGGGGATATTATAGTAATCACATGTGATACTAAGGTCATATTGGGTAATCATTTTTCTAAAGGTAAAGCAATATGAGCCATGTCATGACAAAACCAACATAGTGGATTTGCAACCAGCATGGATCCAGACCAGCCTGCACCTCCGCACAGTCTGATCAGGATCCATGCTGTTTGCTTTCAGTTTCTCTACTTGTAATAGGGATTGCAAGCGAACAGCATGGATCCTGATCAGACTGCATGGATGCCCACCCTGGTCTGGATCCATGCTGGTCGCAAATGCATTACATTGGTTTTTGTCATGACGCGGCTCATATATTGTTTCAGGTCAAGCTCATAATACTTTTATTTAAGCTCAATATGTAACTTTTAAATCTCTGTAAATGTCATTTTTCACCTTACAATGCTTTACTTTAAGCTTTAAGTTTAACCCTTCACCTCCTTAATTTGTGTAATGGATTTACCCAGCATTGAGTTTGGAACAGTCCATTTTAAGTTTCAGGGATGATACCAAAAGACAAAAAAAAAACGAGCTACCAACAGGACAGAACCTATAAGGAATCATTGTTGTAACCCCATTGGTGCTCGAACCCAGAATCCCTGTGTTAAAAAAATAGCAGATCTATATGTTCACCACTGAGACACCACATCACAATGTTTCGCTATCACATAATTTTATCTCCATATTATGCATATGCTATTGTTCTAAAGCTCTTAAAGTTTCAATTAGCTTTACTGTAAGTTCATAAAGTTTCAGTCTTAAGCGCCAAATGAAAAGAATTTGAGTTTCAAGATCAAGTGTTTTAAAGTTTCATTTTCATTGAGAAAGAAATTATATATTTATTTCTTGAAGTAACAAACCATCCATAAAATTGTCTATCAAAGTGTGAAAGATTTTTTTCTCAAAAGATTTGTTTGTGATTTAAAAAATAAGAGGATTCATCAAATAAAGTTGTTTAATAATTGGTTATGCAAAAGCTTAATAGTAAATTCATTGTAATGCATAATATCAGCAACAACAAGTGTACGAGAAGTACAATGACCCTTTTTAGTCATAACAGCTGCTAACAAAAGTTGTCAGCTTTCTGTTTGCTTTGGTCCATTCGTTAGCGATGGCAAAGACTTTGTTTTGATAAACAGGAAAAAAGTCACGTTTTACCAGTTAGCAGCCACTGAACTCTGCTTGTGTACTCGATCCTTGATAAACGTGTTGCGACAAGTCACATGAGTAAGTCAACCGGATGTTTTTGATGTTGTCCACTGAGACAGCGTACATGCACAAATAGATGTTTTCTTCATTTAGAAATGTGTGCTGTGTTTATTTGATAACAAACAAAAATATTCCCGATAATAAAGACCTTGTTATATTCCTCTTTTTATGACTTTGAAAAAGGTAAGCATTCACCCAGTGGTTAAGATTTTCTGTTATGTGAACCTGGGAACATGTGACCGAGCCTTAATTCAGTTGAAACCCTGTTTTCTATACATAGATCTCTGATCTGTTTAATTCTAATCATCAGATTAGTGGATACGATAAGAATTTCACCACAACATGTTTGTTAACAAAAGAGCACATGTCCTTGTTTGTGGTTAAATCTATTGTTATTCAAATTAAAGGTCAATGTAGGGATCTGTCGATTATGACATCAGTACTTAAACTTCAATAAAATGCATGAATTTGTTTAAATATTAAGCTAAATTAAATATTGCATGCCTCCGCATGAGCCAAAATATTTCAAGGAAATCAAACTTGAGATACCTGTAATGTAAAATTTAGAGAAGAAAAATGAATCCAATGTTATTCGTGAAAAATGACCAATTTTCAAGTATTTTTCACCATATTTCTACTATGTTAATTTTCTACTGTGTAGCTAACGAAGTACTGGCTATGTTTTCATATTTTGACCTCTTATTTGGTTATTTACCTTGGTTGAAATGCCACTTGCAATGTGTAAATTATTTTCTTTGTTCCTTTCAAGATACTTTACTTGATCCATTGTAATACATTTTCAAATTTTTCATGAAAATTAGTGCTTGCCAATTTTTTTAAGCCAATCACCAACGAGGATTTTCAAATTTTCAGGTAACAAATCTTAATAGAACAGAATTTATATAAACTGGACATTTTATATTATAAAACGCAAGTGGGCAGAGCACTAAGCCGGTTAGAGTGCATATTGGATGTTCTTCGTAAATAAGAAAGCTACAGTCGTTTCGCAAGCTCCGCTCCTTTTTAGCTTTCTTATTTTACGAAGAACATCCAATATGCACTCTAACCTATACTTAGCAGAAATCTGAAGGTGTGCTGCTTTAAAGATATTATTTTATTCGAGTTTTGGTATTTCAGGAAAAGCAACAATTTGACCCAGTTTCAGAACACAGATACTGGTGTCCATGGCTACAGACTGGTTCTCAAAATATTGCTTCTGGTGAGAGATTACATAAGGATACCAGTCCAGCTGGTTCCCCAGTGAAGTCCCAGACCACAAGTGAGGAAAGAGAACCAGCATGGTTGAAGGTCACAAAAATTCTATGTCACAGATTAGATGATGGTGATAATGACTCATGTAGACAGTTGAAAAGGGTATATATTGTATTTTTCCTTGGTAACATAAAAATACAGAAGAACTAATATGAGTCGACCTTTGACTTGTTCATTTACTTGATGTGTCGAAGTAAAATGACAGTCCTGATTTTTTTCCCCCTTATATATTCATTTAAAAAAAACTCAACATGAGTTAAAATTTGATGTGTTTAATTTTTCCATGCGTCAAACTTTTCTCTTGGTCCGTATGAAATAAATGAAATACAATTAATCATTAATATATCAAAGTTTTTCGATTATTTTGACACCTCAATTTGGAGACATTTCTCACTCCTTTTCTTTGGGAAAAGATGATTTCAATTTTCAATCAACTTGTGTGAGGGGTGTTGATAATACAGTTGTGTCTCCTAACAGCCTTTGTATGCGTTCACATGTGTAGTAAACTGTTCTTACTGTTACCATTAAAATTCTGGCATTTATATTTTAAAACAGTGCAAATTAATTTTGTTTGCGAACACCCCTTGCACATTGTTGCATGATAGTCACACTGAATGTATTAACTATAAGCTGGCTAAGTTATTGCCCTTTCTTTTTGTTACACCATTTGAATCTCATTTGCAAACCTCGAAATTTTGTTATTTATTTGAGACGGATTAATGAGTCAAAGTCCTGATGTGTTGAAGTTTTACGCAAGTCCCATCAAGTACGACTTACCAAAGTTTTACTGATGTTTAAACTTGTAATTCAAAGAGCTATGGTCTCTCTTGTTTTATTTATCCCAACTCCTTTTTTCTTTGCACTTTGAGGCTTTGCATTGCTTTGAACCTTGCTGAACATTTATATGACCATCAGCTTCAATATTTTTTCATTCATTTTAAGCAAGAGATTATTATATATAATTCTTGCTATGAACATTGTAAGAAATGTATGCCTTTTTTTAACTGAATGTTTCAAGGCTTGTTTTCATGCCACTTTGTATTTGAATAAAGTTGAGTGTACTTTGGACATGCCTTGTAGTCAGCTTTTGTTTTTAATAATAATTTTATTACTGTTTGATCGCTGACTGTCTGCTGTCTGCCAGAGAAACAAGATTAGATTTAGGGACCTTTTAAACATACAAAAGATTCATGTTATAACAACAGAGATATGTTTAAATGATTGAACAGAGTAGTAAAAGGAAAAACTCCAAAAGAAAATTATGTCAACATCCGCTAAGACTGTCAAATTTTTTATAATATTTCACTCTTAGAGGGTTGGGATGTGTATATGCACTAGTATGTAGTGAAAACTTTGAAAATCTTCTTTTTGTGCCCCCACATTAGTGGCGGGCATTTAGATTTACCCTTGTCCGTCCGTCCGTCCGTCTGTCCGTCCGTCCTTCCATCCGTCCGTTCACTTTTGTGTCGCACGTAACTCAATTTTGCAATTTTCAACTTGTGTCGCATGTAACTCAAAAAGTATTTGACCTAGAGTCATGAAACTTTACAGGAATGTTGATCAGCATGTGTAGTTGTGCACCTGGGTATTTTCGTCTGGATATTTTTAGTATTTTTAGAGTTATTGCCCTTGACTTAGTAAAATTTTGCAATTTTCAACTTGTGTCGCATGTAACTCAATAGATATTTGACCTAGAGTCATGAAACTTTACAGGAATGTTGATCAGCATGTGTAGTTGTGCACCTGGGTATTTTCGTTTGGATATTTTAAGTATTTTCAGAGTTATTGCCCTTGACTTAGTAAAATTTTGCAATTTTCAACTTGTGTCGCATGTAACTCAAAAAGTATTTGACCCAGAGTCATTAAACTTTACAGGAATGTTGATCAGCATGTGTAGTTGTGCACCTGGGTATTTTCGTTTGGAAATTTTCATTATTTTCAGAGTTATTGCCCTTGACTTAGTAAAATTTTGCAATTTTCAACATGTGTCGCAGGTAACTCAAAAAGTATTTGACCTAGAGTCATGTTACTTTACAGGAATATTGATTAGCATGTGCAGTTGTGCACCAGGTATTTTCGTCTGGATTTATTTAGTATTTTTAGAGTTATTGCCCTTCACTTAGAAAATTTTTGCAATTTTCAACTTGTGTCGCAAGTTTCTCAAAAAGGATTTGACATAGTCATTTAACCTATAGGCAGGTTGCTCAGCATATTTTAGATTTGCACCTGGGGTTTTGCTTGTGGATTTATCCAGTTTTTGTAGAGTAATTTCCCTTGACTTAGTAAAAAGATTGACAGAACAGTGGCGCGGTGGGGGCACCCGTGTCCTATGGACACATTTCTAGTTCATTCAGGTGAGTGATACAGGGCCATCATGGCCCTCTTATTTTATTCTTGTTATATGTGTATAAATTATTGATCATTTAATATTTCAGAGTCCACAAGCGGAAGGTTTACGCCATTTGAGAAAAGTCTTACGCGAATGCACATCCCCTAAAAAGCCAGAGAAGGATCTACAGCAATAGTTTAGGATTGGATAAACATCTCTTGTTAACTTTTTGGCCAACATTGACTTAATAGAAACTTTATTTATGAGAATTTAAATTTTAAAATAGTGAAAGTTACTATTTGGAATGTTGCCTGGTCAACATAAATTATTATGATTTTGACTATTTTTAATGCTGAAATTAATTTTTAATACACTTGCTACTATAAATAGTAACTCAATTGCCTATGATTCCAACTGATTATGAATGTCACGTGACTGATTATCAGTATGAGGCCTGGGGCTGATAGCTGATAATCTTAATCGGCCAGCTGAGCACAAGTATGTGCACAAACTGAAACAATGACGTCACATTTTATATCATCAAAACAGCTAGCTGTAAAAGTGAAAGTAGGATTAAAGAACATATAGCTTGAACATGAGCGTAAATTCTACAAACACAGCTTTATTGAATTTTTTAAAAAAAAATGCTAGCTTCAATTTCATTCTGTGAAAATAAATCGTGCTTCTAGATTCTGTTGCATGCACATAAAGGAAGCAACTCTGTGGAAGTTACGATATAGTACAGTTGAAATCTACAGAGGATAGAAATTTCAACGAAAGAAATATCAAAGGAAAATTTAAAAGTGTATTAAAGACAGTAATATACATCATAGATGGGCCGGAAGGTGATAATTGTCCCTGAATTTAAAAATGCCCTCGGGCTGAAGCATTTGGGACCATTATTCATTATGCAGGCCGATTATCACCTTCCAGCCCTGCTCTGCCGTGTATTAACCTCTTAATATTCATAATTATGTAATACAGTTTTGTGAACTTTTTTGTTTTGAGATGTTGATCCCTTCCTCCTCATCCCTTCTTAAGTGGCAGTATATTCTGGATACAGAACAATGACAAATTGATTTGTCAATTTTTCTCCATTTATTAAAATTTTTTTTAAATAGTATTGATAATTTTTAGTCTTTACAAAATTATTCAGAGGTCACAAGTCATATGTTGAACTTGATCATCAGAAATTTAGGCTTGTGATGCCACTTTGTACGCTTGACATGCCAAATTTCTTAAATGAACTTGAAATTTAAATTCTTGGAACTGTCTATCAAATATGGGGAAATCAGGGTGAACTTGATTCTAGTGCAAAAGAATGTGACTTGAAAGTGAAGAGTTCGATTTTGAAAATGTGTATTTTCAATCATGTTTTATTTACAATTAGCAGTCAGAAAAACTCATAAAGATTTTTATATTTTTTTGTGGGTTTTATTAAAACTTTGCAATGTTTGGTCAAAGGGAGATAACTGAATAAATTTGATCAAAGCAAATATATAGAGGATATAGAATGAGTATAAATTTAATATTGACTTTCTTGAACAAGTTGAATAAAATTATATTATGCAAGCATAATATTATTTAATTTAACAAGTTCAATGAATTCAGTAATGAACTTACACAAATTTGATATTCTATTTATCACATACCAAAAATAAAGACTGTTTGTAGTGAAAAAGAACTAGTTTCCATTGATGTGCCAATTGTAAAACACTCATATTTGGCACGTCTTTAAGCTATGTTTATATAACGCAAATGACATCAGGTCAAAATATAATTATGCGGCCTTGTAATACCATTTTTGGAAGGAAATTTTTTCAAAAAAAAATTTCCTTTCTATATTATCGGTCTGCCTATATCAAAAAGAACGAACAACACCTAATTGCATTCTGTTTAAGCTCAATAGAAAATAAGTAGTTAATGCGACCAAGAAAGTAGTGCAGCAGAACTATATGTATACTTTCAAACGTGGATGACTTTAAGAAAAAGCTGATGTTCAAAAACACTTGAAATGATGATATTCAATGTTAGCTAACATCAATGGAACATAATCTTAAACGTGTACGAAAAAAAAACATCAGTATTATTACGCATTAGGCCAAAGAAAAGTTTGTGTCCATGTACCTATGTACAATAAATTGAATATAAATAAAGTGTAATTTTGTAGCAGAGATGCTGAAAATTCACATGTAAGTCAACCGAAGGGAAATGAAAGTATTTATTGTATATATTTAGCAATTTATTGAATAGCATTTTATGCCACCGCTGATTTTTTTTACGTCAATAACTCAAGAGGAAACAATGGATACAATATGTGGCCTTAAAAAAGCGTACTATTTTCGCAAAAAAATGGTTCGCAAACTTTCATAGAATCAAAGCGTTTGAAACAAAAATATTATTATATAAATAATAAAAAACAAGATAACACTACAAGTCTTTCAAAGGTATTCTGGAATTAACGGATGCAATTTGGTAAAACTTGGTTTTGACTAGTACACACCCGCCATTGTTCGGACCATCGACAGAATAACGTTCGTGTTTTTCAGATTTCTCCATCCAAGACATAGATTTGCTGATGAATAACATCGCAAAGGTTTGTGGAAATGCTTTTATTTCTTTGTTCAAAATCGTTTTGTGTTTGCAGATGTTAATTTGTTAGACAAACGAAATTAGGTCAAGGATTGTTTACATTATTGAATTTACAGGTAAACTCGGCCCTATACCAACTCGGGACAGGTCAACTCGGTCCTCTATTAAAACCATATAGCCTATTAGGATATAGATTGTTTAGATTGTTTAGTTAATAAAATATTGTTTGAAATTATCTTTAAGATATTATAAATAATTATCTTTAGAAGAGATATCAACACAATATATGTTAAATATTAATCAATAAATAGAGTTTTTAGATTGAATTTTTGTGACAATGAATTTTATTGTATTTAATACTGTTTGTTTTTTAATATGGCAAATGCTTGTTTAACGATATTTTTTACTAAAGAATCTGGAGTAGCATAAAATGCGTTTAAATTGTAAATTCTTTCTTTCTCTACAATTTCACATACTTTTCAATATCCTTGAGTAGATGTCTATTAGTGTGAAAATGTTAAACCATGACAGTTATGATGAAAACATATCAAAAGTAAGAAAAGTAATCATTATCAGTAATTATGTAATTATGGGCCGAGTTGACCCGTGCTGAGTTGGAATAGGGCCGAGCTGTCTCGAGGGCCAAATACGTTTAAGGGCCGATCTGACCCTGATTCGAATTTACAGTGTTGACTGTTGTGAAGGATTTGCTTTTTCATTTCTATTGTATATAGACTATCTATTAAGATAGAAATAAGTTTATAATATGTTATATTCAACTGTTGTGTACAATTGATATTCGATAACTGTATAAAAATTTATCATGGCCCTCTTGATTTTTATTTGGCGAGGTCCGAGGACAGGCAGCCTTTCGCACAGACTGCAATTTGCATTTGGTATAGTAATTTTTAGTGTTTGATGATCAGAAGATTTTTTCCTTCTGAAAATCATGGACTTGAATAATTCAAATCTGTGTGAAAGCGCAAAGAGAAAGAGACTGAAAATTAATTTATTATTTCTATGGACAATATTGATGTAATAAATTTGTAATAAAACATGTGGGTCATTTCCAGCAGTAATTGAATCATGACAAAGTATTTTTAATAATTTTATTTAACTTGTGGCTACTTGAAAATTTCATGCTGGATGTTTTCTTACCATTACATTTTGCATAAGAGCTCTATGATTGACATTAAAGTCCACGGGCCAATTCATTTCTGATATATCTATAATCTTTCTGATATCTTGTTATAATATAAATGACTGAACATCATTGTAGAATTATAAGGAAAAAATATATATCAGTGATTTTTTTACCTTTGCATCCTGAGTCCAGAACTCAATGAATTTGCTATGGATGCAAAGTTTCAAATAATGTGCATCTTTTGGATGCATACTTTTTCTAAGTAGGGAGTCCTGTCTGACAGAAATTTGGTATTAAAATTAATACCAAATAGTGTTCAACTTATGTCAATCATATTCTAGGTCCAGCTAAGATATAATAATGTGCTATACTATAGGTAAGCTTAAAAATATTAAGGAAAATGAAGTTTTGATTAATATCAAACTAAATTAATGGAAATAAACATATTAAATTTATTTGACAGTTTTGAATAATTTCAGTATCAGAAGCATTGTAATTAATATAGAAATCAAATTCATTTTTTTCTCCATTCCATTGTTAATATACCTGTCATATCACTTAAGCAGTATTAAGATTTGTAACTTGGATTTGTCGGCTAAATTATGGGACTCATAGATTTATAGCCCAGCGAGTACTAAGGACCCACACTGATGAGTTTGTAAAAAAATCACTGTATATATGTTCATTCTTTGTAAAAATGTTAGAAGACTTGCAAGTTACCGACTTTATTATTGCATTTATTTATTATTGAAAAAATGCTGAACAGCTAGTCTCAACAGTGTTTATAGGCTAGAATTTTCAGTTTGCATTAGGGCCAAAATTATTAAATATATTGTTAGTCATGATGGCTTTCCCATTGCTGTCATCAAACTTTAACCTTGTTCATAACTTTTTCAGATCTTGGTGTATTGTCTTCATACTTGGCCACAACAACCCTTCAAATAGACCAGACTAAACTAAATTAACTTGACCACCATATTAACATTCAAGGTAAATGTCTAAATTTTCTTGATTTTTGCTATTAGTGGCTATAATTTGTTATTTTTGAATGGATTGTCTTCAAACTTGAACAACAATGATGTCAATCTTTCAGGATAGGACCTGACTCACTCATAAATGTCCTTGAAGCTTTTGTGATCAGAAGTTGTACAGAATAATACAAACCCAGAGCAATTTCATTCACTTGGTTTTTTGCAACTTCTGAGAAAATGGATTTTAAAGATAGTTGTTTTCTTGAAATTTCAGGACAGTATAGTAGATAGTAAAGACATTTAATACATACTGTATATACACTATAATTACTATAGTATACTATAAAAATCTTTATGCTTGGACAATTTTGAACAAATTGTTTCTTAAACAGTGTAAGAAATTAGGATTTGAATCGACTAGGCTGGTCAGACTACTATATTGGAATATTCACTTGTCCAAAAGACATTTCACTAGCACGATTCATTTGTTCAAAACAGTTGTTTATATTGCCTCTGAAAATACAGTAGCCTGGTCGGGCTTGTTACTGTGAAAAGTTGATAGCCCGAGGAGAAATTTAGTAGTCGGACTCTCAGACTACTGCTAATTTCGAACACTGCTTAAATTATTGATTTGATATTAACTAACATAATTATTGGGATACTATATGTATATCTAATAATAATTATATTTTTATGTTTCAGAAGTTCGGCCTACATGTCAGATTTATGAATGTGAACAGCAGGATATCGATTTTAAGGATGCTTTAGGGTCAATGACAATGAAATCACAAGAGATAAAGGCTAAAATGTGAGACTGTCAATCTGACTAACCTTGAAGTGAACAAATGGAAAAAATGTCTCTTTCAATAGCATGGGCTTTTAAGGAAGAGGTACATGATTATTTAGAAGTATTTGTATATGATATTTCTTAATTATTATATTCTAATAGCTTTTTTTTTCTTGACTTGTTTAAAGGCTGACACAGGACAGTTTATTTTAAGTCAGTGAGCTTCAGTCACTGGATAGACTATTGTCACAAAAAGCCAAATTTATAAAAAAGAATTACAGTGTATTTAAATATCTTATACAAGAAATTAGGAACAAAATTAATTGCAAGAACAATTGTGACATGTAACATGTATTTAGGATTTCAGCTTTCTTTTCCTTTTTACCTCAGGACAATTCACATTAAAATATTGAATATTCACAGTAAGTAGTGTTAGCACTCCGACATATCTGACATATATGATCATCTTATCATCACTTAGCTGTCTATAGCTTATCAGAATCACTCACATTTATGAATTTAAATAATTTTGAAAAAATTGCTGCTTAGCAAATAGATAAAATACTTGGGGTGTCTGTGACTGATTGGTTTAGTTTCTTCATTTTAAACCTTTAAGCCTTTCACTGCTGTAAGTTTGTTCTCGGCAAGGGTTTACAAGTGGAATTTTAATTTTGCAATTAACTTTTTCTAAACAAATATTTCAGGAAACAGAGGCGCTTATATGATAGAACAGTAAAAGCAGGAGTGATAAGGAAAGATACATGTAGAATAAGATGTGTCTTCATGTCTGAAACACTAAAGAAATAGAAATATTGTGGTTTTATAAACTTTAAAAGAAATTGGAATATCAGGAGACTGCCTGCCCTTTGCAATGTTGGATAATGAGTTCTTAGATGTGATGTCGAAAGTCTCATGAATATAGTACCATGACTTAATCTAATTAGAAAAAGAAATGACATTGAGGAGAAAACTAGTCACCAGTCTTTCACCAAGAACTAGAGATAACTTTCCAATATTTGAAATATCATAATATGTATAGAACTTTATTGAGCCACCAGTTTTTCACCAGGAAAATAAGATCACTTAAATATTTTTAGCTCACCTGTCACAAAGTGACAGGGTGAGCTTTTTCGATCGCTTTTCGTCTGGCGTCCACTTTAAATGACATCTCCTCATAAACCACTAAGCCAATTTCATCCAAACTTCACAGGAATGTTTCTTTGGTGGTCACCTCTAAATATTGTTCATAGAACACTGGTTGCCATGGCAACCAAAAGAAAAAAACTTAAAGTATCTTCTTTTAAAGAACCTAAAGAGCTAGAGCTTAGACAAAGTATCTTCTTTTAAAGGTATGAAACATCTTCTAGTGAGTGTCTACCAAGTTTGTTCAAATAAAAGCCCTGGGGGTCAAAATTGGCCCCGCCCCAGGGCGTCATTGAATTCCCCTATATGCATATAGTAAAAACTTAAAAATCTTCTTTTAAAGAACCAAAATAGCTAGAGTTTAGATATCAAGCATGAAACATCTTCTTGTAAGTGTCTACAAAGTTTGTTCAAATAAAAGCCCTGGGGTCAAAATTGGCCCCTCCCCGGGGGTCATTGATTTTCCTTATATGTGTATAGCAAAAACTTAAAAACCTTCTTTGAAAAAACCTAAATAGCTAGAGTTTAGATATTAAGCATGAAACATCTTCTGGTAAGTGTGTACAAGGCCCCACCCAAGGGGTTTCATTGTTTTTAGCTCGACTATTCGATAAGAATAAGTAGAGCTATTGCAGTCACCCGAGCGTCGGCGTCGGCGTAACCACTTATGTTAAAGTTTTTGTAATAGTTCAAATATTTTCAAAGTCCATTGACATATGGCTTTGAAACTTTGCACACTTGTTCACCATCATGACCCCAACCTGTAGACAGGAGGAGGTAACTCTATCAAGCATTTTGACATAATTATGCCCCTTTTTCGACTTAGAATTTACGTTAAAGTTTTTGTAATAGTTCAAATATTTTCAAAGTCCATTGACATATGGCTTTGAAACTTTGCACACTTGTTCACCATCATGACCCCAACCTGTAGACAGGAGGAGGTAACTCTATCAAGTATTTTGACAGAATTATGCCCCTTTTTCGACTTAGAATTTACGTTAAAGTTTTTGTAATAGTTCAAATATTTTCAAAGTCCATTGACATATGGCTTTTGAAACTTTGCACACTTGTTCACCATCATGACCCCAACCTGTAGACAGGAGGAGGTAACTCTATCAAGCATTTTGACAGAATTATGCCCTTTTTCGACTTAGAATTTACGTTAAAGTTTTTGTAATAGTTCAAATATTTTCAAAGTCCATAGACATATGGCTTTGAAACTTTGCACACTTGTTCAACATCATGACCCCAACCTGTAGACAGCAGGAGGTAACTCTATTAAGCATTTTGACAGAATTATGCCCCTTTTTCGACTTAGAATTTACGTTAAAGTTTTTGTAATAGTTCAAATATTTTCAAAGTCCATTGACATATGGCTTTTGAAACTTTGCACACTTGTTCACCATCATGACCCCAACCTGTAAACAGGAGGAGGTAACTCTATCAAGCATTTTGACAGAATTATGCCCCTTTTTCGACTTAGAATTTACGTTAAAGTTTTTGTAATAGTTCAAATATTTTCAAAGTCCATTGACATATGGCTTTGAAACTTTGCACACTTGTTCACCATCATGACCCCAACCTGTAGACAGGAGGAGGTAACTGTATCAGGCATTTTTTTTACTATCAAGCACTAAGAATAGTCGAGCATGCTGTCCTACCGACAGCTCTTGTTAACTATTTGTGTATAGTAAAAACTTAAAAAATCTTCTTTTAAAAAACCCAATGAGCTAGAGCCTAGATGTTTAGCATGAAACATCTTATGGTGTCGACCAAATTTGTTCAAATTTAAGCCCTTGTATAAAAATTGGCCATGCCGGGGTGGGGGGTGGTGCAGAGGTCTTTGTTTTACATTATATGTGTGTAGTTAAAACTTAACATCATGAAACATCTTCTAACGGGTGTCTTACAAGTTTGGTCAAATAAAAGCCCTGGGTTTTAAACTGGCCCCGCTCCAGGGGCCTATATACACATGGCCCTCTTGTTCAACAATCTTGTTGAAATATGTATGAACAAATCTTTATCAACTTCAAGCTTTTATTGAAGGAATTTGAAATAACTTGGCAGAAATGATTGTTATAATAAGACAATGAGTCATGTCAACAACCAGACCCCTACCTCCAGGGTCAAGGTCGCACTTGCTCATTCAAGGTCAACTTGTCTTTTTGAGAGTATATCTCGTGTCTGGTCTTCCCTATCTCTAAAGGGATTTTGTAAATTCTTGCCACAATTGCTCACAATAATGAGAAGATGTGTCATGCTCAACAACAGGTCACCTGCCTCCAAGGTCAAGGTCACACTTGGAGGTCAAATATTAGCATAGCCTGTTACAGGGTATATTTCGTGTCCGGTCCATAACTTTGTCATTTATTGAAGGAATTTGAAATAACTTGGCACAAATGTTTGTTATAATAAGACAATGATGTGCAACAACCAGACCCTTACCTTCAGGGTCAAGGTCACACTTGCTCATTCAAGGTCAACATTGTCCATTTGAGGGTATATCTCGTGTCCAGTCTTTACCTTTCTTATCTTTGAAAGGATTTTGTAAATACTTGCCGCAATTGTTCACAACAATGAGATGATGTGTTATGCGCAACAATCGGTCACCAACCTAGAAGGTCAAGGTCACACTTGGAGGTCTAAGATTAACATAGCCTGTTATAGGGTATTTTTTTTTGTCCGGTCCATAACTTTTTTGTATATCAAAGGATTTTGAAAACACTTGGCACAAATATTCACTATAATAAGACAATGTGTCAAGCGCAACACCTGCATCCCTACCTCCAAGGTCAGGGTCACATTTCGAGGTAAAAAATTAACATAGTCTTTTAAAGGGTATATATTGTGTCCAATGTAGAACTTCTTCATAGTTCAAGGGATTTTGAAATAACTTGGCACAAATAGTCACAATAATAAGACGATATGTCAATTACAACACCTGCACCCCTGCCTCCAAGGTCAAGGTCACACTTAGAGGTATAAAGGTAACAAAGTATGTTATATGGTATATTTTATGCCCCATCCATAACTTCTTCATAGATGAAGGGATTTGGAAAATACTTGGCACAAATAGTCACAATGATAAGATGATATGTCATGCACAACACCTGCACCCCTACCTCCAAGGTCAAGGTCACACTTAGAGGTCAAAGCAGGGATTTTTTCCAGGATTTTGGGAACATAACCCATACCCATGCAACTGGGAATTTCAGCGATATTTTGTTAAAATTGGGAAAAACTGTATGACTGAAAGTTTGCAGTGATTAAATGTATGCAAGCAATCACTGCCTAGGATGGCTTCTTCAAACATTTAAACACTATTACAGTAAAGAAGCCCTTATTTTCAAAGATTTTAGAATTCTTTATTCAATATTTATATTTTTGTAACTTTCAATTGGGAATATTTTCCTTTGGATTGGGAAAATAATATACTATTTTCAATTGGGAATATGTCCCAATAACGGCTATAAAATAAGCCAAAAAATCCCTGCAAAGCATAACATGATATATTTTGAAATTCAGTATTTCATTTTATTTCTTTAATAAATTTATTGTTGCATTTGCAGATCCAGCATTGATCATAATTTTGGACTGAAAATCCTTAGATCCCTGCCTCAATCTTTTGAAATAGCACAATTTTTTGCTTCATATAAACTTCCCTGAGGCGGGGGACGTTGGTATCTCTGTTACAAATTCTTGTTTATTTTACCAACAAGTGTTCACTTTCAAACTTTTGATCATTGTATTTTTTGTACTACCTTTTGTATAATGTTGTATTTTATTTATGTTCTTATTCTAAGATTAGCATGGCCAACTCATGAAAGTCCAAATGATGGTCAACTTTTTTATGTTTTTTTTTGTTTTGTTTTTTTTAAACATTATTTACTTTATTTTTACAGTGTTCCTCTGAATCATACATTCTGTTTAGTTAAACATGCACTTCTTGTTACTTACATGACTTATTTTCCCATACTTCATATTACATTGATCACGGTTTGATGTGATGGCTCATAAAATTATAACAATATCATTTCTTTGTACTTTACCTAGTAAAATATGAAAACAGAAATGCTCTTGTAAGCTAACCAATAAGATTTGTACACCTTTTAAGGATTCAATTTATAACTGGTATATTCAACAATATATCAAAACACAGGTCAAGTATGATTTCAGTTACATTCCACAAAATTTATACAACATTATGCATTCCTTACCAAATCATATGCAAAAAATTGATTTATAACTGATAATATTTGAATGCTTTTGAAATCTATAAAGATTTTTCATATAACTCTGGACAAAATTTAACAGTCTTTAGTGAGTTGGAGTGTAGTATGAAAAATCAGGTGTCTGTTGCAAAGATCAAGGTCACTACTTTGGATCAAAAGTCAAATAATAACTTAAAACATGAGAGTATATTTCTATATACATGGCTGGATTTTCATAACATTTATCACAAATGCTCACTTATGTATACATCTTTCTCCCCAATCTGAAGCTTTAAGGTTCAGTTCTGAATAATGGCAACAGACTTGATATATGCTGCCAGTGGGCTTGTCTAATTATGTACATATTTTGATTACCCACTCAATATAAGCATTGTTCTTAACGCAGGCATTCAAGTCCTATGGGCACATTTCTACTTTTGACTATATTTTGTTGTATAATGTCAGTCTTGTATGTAAAAAATCCTTAAAACAGCACCTCCTATATTACTGGCCGTTTGCATTAAAGCTTCTTTCATTCAGATTGTTATAACTTGTATCACCTCAATATGTACCAATAATTTAAAGGGACTCACTCCATTGAGGTTTAAAAGCCTAAAACATAACATTTGAATTTCTACAGAAATGAGCCGGGGCACTTGATACAGAAATATATGCACAGATAGTGAAGAAATATACTTTGAAATGAATTGAAAATCAATTTTTTTTATGCTTTTCTCAGCCTGATCTGCGTGATATGTGTTTAAACGCTTTCATTTTGGGATTTTTTTTTTACAATTTGAATAATTATTCCTGAAAAACAAAGTGCGCAAATGATCTGAAATTTTTCTCAAAGAGTAGTGGTCAAAACATACATCAAGTGGTACATTAATCTAGAAAAATAAATTTCAGTCTCATCATGTCAAAAAACCTCAGTGGAGTTCCTTTTACACATTTTATCTGACAAACTAAATTTCATTATCTCCATATATTTAATCATTTATTTTTTATATTACATATATTTTTACTTTTATGCAAGTTTTGACAATAAAAGTTTATTTTAAATCATTGTTCTTTGTTTTGCTATGACTTTAACAGCATGTACATCAATTTCATACTAAAACACAAGTAGCTATGTTTGAACTTACAAATGTAAGCACATGATGAGCTTTTCTTGTCCTTGAGTTTAAAATAAAAAGTCTCTTCATTAACTATGATTAAATAATGCTTATGGCATGGTCTTGAATTCCTATGAAGTAGTCATATAAGTCATGGCCGATTTAGGTCAAACTGAGTGGTTCTTTGTGTGCATAATGCAGTAGTATTATCTATTAATTAATTCACTTATTACTATATTAGTAACAGAATTGCCTATGATTTCAACTGATTGTGAGTGTCACAACTTATGGGTTTGGGGCCCTGGGCAAAGAACTAGTTATCAGCCCACTGAACATGAGTAGTGCAAAAACGTAAACAATGACGTCACATTTTACGTCATCAAATCAGCTAGCTGTAGATTGAAGCTTGCACATATTCCTTTGTTTTTAATTCACACGCATTAGGTATTTCTATGAAAATTTCCTTCCAACAGTACTTTCAGTGCTTTGATTATGGAGTGGCAAATGCAGCGCGGATGTGCGATATATTTTGGTTTCTTAGTAATGGATCTATTATAGTACACATACTATGAAGCCAGAGCAGAGGTCGGCGTAACTTTA